CAACCATCTTATCCTCTGTCATCCCCTTCTCCTCCTGCCCTCTCAATCTTTCCCAGAATCAGGGTCTTTTCAAGTGAGTCAGCTCTTCATATCAGGTGGCCAATGGATTGAAGTTTCAGCTTCAACATCAGCCCTTCCAGTGAACCCCCAGGACTGATCTCATTTAGGATGGACTTGTTCGATCTCCTTGCAGTCCAAGTGACTCTCAAGAGTCTTCTCCAACACCTCAGTTCAAAAGCATCAATTCTTCTGCGCTCAGCTTTCTTTATAGTCCAACTCTCATATCCATACATGACCATTGGAAAAACCATAGCCTTGACTAGGCAGACCTTTGTTGACAAAGTAATGCCTCTGCTTTTTTTTTTTTAAATGCTTCTGCTTTTTATCATGCTGTCTAGGTTGGTCATAACCTTCCTTCCAAGGAGTAAGCGTTTTTTAATTTCATGGCTGCAATCACCATCTGTAGTGATTTTGGGGCCCAGAAAAATAAAGTCAGCCACTGTTTCCACTGTTTCCCCATCTATTTGCCATGAAGTGATAGGACTGGATACCATAATCTTAGTTTCAGTTTTGTGAAAATTGAGCTTTAAGCCAACTTTTTCACTGTCCTCTCTTTTACTTTCATCAAGAGGCTCTTTAGTTCTTCTTCACTTTCTGCCATAAGGGTGGGGTCATTTGCATATCTGAGGTTATTGATATTTCTCCTATTGACTCCAGCTTGTGCTTCATCCAGCCCAGAGCTTCTCATGATGTACTCTGCATATAAGTTAAATAAGCAGGGTGACAATATACAGCCTTGGTGTACTCCTTTTCCTATTTGGAACCAGTCTGTTGTTCCATGCCCAGTTCTAATTGTTGCTTCCTAACCTGCATACAGGTTTCTCAAGAGGCAGGTCAGGTGGTCTGGTATTCCCATCTCCTTCAGAATTTTCCACAGTTTATTGTGACCCACAGAGTCAAAGGCTTTGGCATAGTCAACAAAGCAGAAATAGATGTTTTTCTGAGACTCTCTTGCTTTTTCGATGATTCGGCGGATGTTAGCAATTTGATCTCTGGTTCCTCTGCCTTTTCTAAAATCAGCTTGAACATCTGGAAATTCATGGTTCGCATATTGCTGAAACCTGGCTTGGAGAATTTTGAGCATCACTTTACTAGCGTGTGAGGTGAGTGCATTTGTGTGGTAGTTTGAGCATTCTTTAGCATTGCCCTTCTTTGGGTCTGGAATGAAAACTGACCTTTTCCAGTCCTGTGGCCACTGCTGTGTTTTCCAAATTTGCTGGCACATTGAGTGCAGCACTTTCACAGCATCATCTTTCAGGATTTGAAATAGCTCAACTGGAATTCCATCACTTCCCCTAGCTTTGTTCGTAGTGATGCTTCCTAAGGCCCACTTGACTTCACATTCCAGGATGTCTGGCTCTAGGTGAGTGATCACACCATTGTGATTATCTGGGTCATGAAGATCTTTTTTGTACAGTTCCTCTGTGTATTCTTGCCACCTCTTATATCTTCTGCTTCTGTTAGGTCCCTACCATTTCTGTCCTTCAGACCATTCAGGTATGACCTGAATCAAATCCCTTATGATTATACAGTGGAAGTGACAGATTCAAGGGATTAGATCTGATAGACAGAGTGCCTGAAGAACTATGGATGGAGGTTCATGACATTGTACAGGAGGCAGTGATCAAGACCATCCCCAAGAAAGAGAAATGCAAAAAGGCAAAATGGTTGTCCAAGGAGGCATTATAAATAGCTGAGAAAAGAAAAGACACGAAAGGCAAAGGAGAAGAGGAAAGATATACCTATTTGAATGCAGAGTTCCAAAGAATAGCAAGGAGAGGTAAGAAAGCCTTCCCTAGTAATCAATGTAAAGCAATAGAGGAAAATAATAGAATGGGAAAGACTAGAGATCTCGTCAAGAAAATCAGAGATACCAAGGGAACATTTCAATCAAAGATGGGCACAATAAAGGACAGAAACAGTGTGGACCTAACAGAAGCAGAAGATATTAAGAAGAGGTGACAAAAATACACAGAAGAGCTATACAAAAAAGGATCTTCATGCCCCAGATAACCACAATGGTGTGATCACTTACCTAGAGCCAGACATCCTGGAATGCGAAGTCAAGTGTGTCTTAGGAAGCATAACTACAAACAAAGCTAGGGGAGGTGATGGAATTCCAGATGAGCTATTTCAAATCCTGGAAGATGATGCTGTGAAAGTGCTGCACTCAATATGCAGCAAATTTGGAAAACTCGGCAGTGGCCACAGAACTGAAAGAGGTCAGTTTTCATTACAGTCGTAAAGAAAAACAATGCTAAATAATGCTCAAACTACAACACAAATGCACTCATCTCACATGCTGGCAAAGAAATGCTCAAAATTCTCCAAGACAGGCTTCAACGGTACATGAACTGCGAACTTCCAGATGTTCAAGCTGGCTTTAGAAAAGGCAGAGGAACCAAAGATCAAATTGCCAACATCTGTTGGATCGTCGAAAAAGCAAGAGTTTCAGAAAAACATCTACTTCTGCTATATTGACTATGCCAAAGCCTTTGAACATGTGGGTCACAACAGTCTGTGTAAAAATCAAGAGATGGGAATACCAGACCACCAAACCTGCCTCCCAAGAAATCTGTATGCAGGTCAAGAAGCAACAGTTAGAACCAGACATGAAACAACAGACTGGTTCCAAATAGGAAAAGGAGGATGCCAGGCTGTATGTTGTCACCCTGCTTATTTAACTTATATGCAGAGTACATCAAGAGAAACGCTGGGCTGGATGAAGCACAAGCTGGAATCAAGATTGCCAGGAGAAATATAAATAACCTCAGATATGCGAATGACCCCACCCTTATGGCAGAAAATGAAGAACTAAAGAGCCTCTGATGAAAGTGAAAGAGGAGAGTGAAAAAGTTGGCTTAAACTCAACATTCAGAAAACTAAGATCATGGCATCCGGTCCCTTAACTTTATGGCAAATAGATAGGGAAACAATGGAAACAGTGGACAGACTTTAGTTTTGGGTCTCCAAAATCACTGCAGATGGTGACTACAGCCATGAAATTAAATGACACTTGCTTCTTGGAAGAAAAGTTGTGACCAAGCTAGACAGCATATTAAAAAGCAGAGACATTACTTTGCCAAAAAATGTCCATCTAATCAAGACTATGGTTTTTCCAGTACTACAGGAGACCCAACCAGTCTGTCCTAAAGGAAATCAGTCCTGAATTTTCATTGGAAGGACTGATGCTGAAGTTGAAACTCCAATACTTTGGCCACCTGATGCGAAGAACTGACTCATCTGAAAAGACCCTGGTGCCGGGAAAGATTGAAAGCAGAAGGGGATGACAGAGGATGAGATGGTTGGATGGCATCACCAACTTGATGGACATGAGTTTGAGTAAGCTCCGGAGTTGGTAATGGGACAGGGAAGACTGGCGTGCTGCAGTCCATGGAGTCGCAAAGAATTGGACATGACTGAGAGACTGAACTGAACTGAACTAGGCTTGATCCTCAGCTTGATCTACTCTCTAGCTGCAGGAGATGAGAGTCAATTTCTATGCTGCCAATGAAAGTTTCCTTTGGGCTTCCCTTGTGGTTCAGGTGGTAAAGAATCTGCCAGCAATGCAGGAGGCTGAGTTTCAATCACTGGGTCAGAAGATCCCCTGGAGAAAGGAATGGCAACTCACTCCAGTATTCTTGCCTGGAGAATTCCATGGACTAAGAGAAGGCAGGCAGGCTACAGTCCATGGGATTGCACAGAGACAGCCACGACTTAGCAACTAACACTTTGACTTTGACTTTAATGAAACTTCTGGCTTTTACATCTGTCATTTCTTTTAATTTCTAACATATCACCTTTCATTGTGTTTTCTCCCAGCTACAAACATTCAGTTCCATTATTCTTGCAATTATTAACTGATTTCATGGGCAGACAATATGAAAAAGAGGTCCCATAGAGCATTAATTATTTCTAGATTTTGCAGAAGTTATCATTTCTTTGATTTTTATCCATGAATTCCTGAGAATATCTATTTTGTCTAAGAACTAAGGAGATTTACAATGGAACCTGAGCTGTGACTAGGGAGCTTAACCTCTGTTGTGAAATTAACAAAGCCATGTTATCTATCCTATAAGTGTAGGTAAAATACAGTTGTCCAGAATGCATAAAAAAATCTCAAAGAAGAGTATCATCACACTACATTTTTCATATAGGAAAGTGATAGTTTATTTTTGTCATAGAGTTACAACTTAGGAAAATTTGGGGAATAAAAATGATAAAGGGGAATTTTCACTGGAGCCATTAAGAGAGCAACTATAAATATTCATAATGCAGAAATATTGCAACTGAACTTTAGCTGCTTGATGACTTGAAGGCCAAAAGTTAAGAAGGAGAATGTTACTGATACAAGCAAATTCACACTTGGATGAAGGGGAGAGGTCCAGACAAGTAGAATTTAGACTGACACCAGAATGTGCTCACAGAGATAGTGGACCTGTGGTGGGCTCATTAAAATCATGAGACCCAAATCAGTTCAGCAACATCAGCCCCAGCCCAGGTGTCCTAATGATCAGCACAAAAGAAGGGTCTGCATTAGTGGGGACAGAGATAAACAGAGACAGTGGTTACAGGCTTAGCAGCAAGAGGAGGGACAGCACACGGGGCGGGGGCAGGTGGAGATGACACAGGTGGGCCGATAGCAAGTGGTGTGGCAGGAGACCCGGCCACACACTGGGCGCAGGCAGCAGCTCGGGGGGCAGCAGCTCAGGCGGCAGCAGCTGGAACCACAGCTGGACCCACAGCAGGAGGGGCGGCAGCAGCTAGAGATGCAGCAGGTGGGGCGAGGGCATCTGGGCTGGCAGCACTGGGGCCTGAAGCAGCTGGAGATGCAGCAGGTAGGCCTGCAGCAGCTGGACCCACAGCTGGACCCACAGCAGGAGGGGCGGTAGCAGCTAGAGATGCAGCAGGTGGGGCGAGGGCATGTGGGCTGGCAGCACTGGGGCCTGCAGCAGCTGGAGATGCAGCAAGTAGGCCTGCAGCAGCTGGAACCACAGCTGGACCCACAGCAGGAGGGGCGGTAGCAGCTAGAGATGCAGCAGGTGGGACGAGGGCAGGTGGGCTGGCAGCAGACCGGCCGGCAGCAGCTGGACACATTGCAGCTGGGGCGGCAGCAGGTGGTCCTGCAGCAGGTGGTCTGGCAGCAGCTGGGCTGGCAGCAGGTCTCCTGGCAGAGACTTCGGCCATAGCTCTGGTCAGAGCAGACGGAGCCACAACAGGAGCTGACCATGGTGTCAATGGAAGGAGTGGAGTTCCACGAGTGGGCTTGCAAGAGAGTGCTTTCTTGTTTTTGACTGTTTCCTTACCCCTGTCTCTTTTTATACTCTGCTTTTAGCTGGTCTTACCATGAGCAATGCTTTTTCCTTGTTATTTTTCCTACTGGATAATCAGTTAACAATACTACTAAGTTCATAATTGTGTTTATGAAGTTAATTATGCCAATATCTAAGCATCAATATCTAAAACATCATTTCCTTTTCTATTATTATGTTCACTGAATCTTGTTAAACTGTGTGTAACCACTTTGTTTTTCTTCCTCTAATGTGTCTTCTAAGTTGGAAATATCACGTTTATTACTGAGTTTTTATGTGTCACTTTTTTTCCTTCTTTGTGTATAACTCCACGATAATACTTTGAGAATGGCCGTGTCTCTTTTTATGTCAAAGTGGAAATAATGCATGCTACTGATAGGCAGAATGCTGATAAGGAAATAAGAGAAAAGACTCTTGCTGGGATTTTGTGTTCAGTGTGGGGAGACTGGTGGAGAGGTAGGCTTGTTGACACACTTTTGTACAATGAGAGAAGACTAGGGTGTGTTTCCTGGCTAATTAGAGAGTCAGGGGGTTACAAAAGACTTCCAGTCTCATTGTAATGGCTACCCCAAGAGTTAGCTTTTAATTTTTCCTTTTCAGTGGTAAGAACCATTTACAAAGATGAACTTTTTCCTATAGTGTGCTAAAAGTGAGTGGGTTTGACCTATCTTCATAAGCATGCATATGCAATGAATTCTGCATTATTCAGAAGGTTTCATTTAAAGCGTTTTTTTTTTTTTATACTCTTTCAAAAATTTGAATTCAAGTCATTCTGGATAAAGAGGCTATAAATAGGCAAGCCTTGCTTTTTATCCTCCTGCTCAAGCTTAGTCGCTCAGGAATGTTCAACTCTTTGTGACCCTTCAGACTGTAGCCCTCCAGGCTCCTCTGTCCATAGGATTTTTCAGGAAAGAATACTGGAATAGGTTGCCATTTTCTTCTCCATGCTCATTATCCTACAAATAGTAAAATATATTAAAAGGCAAGATTTTGACAAGTAGTCAAAACACCAAAGCATGAGTTTCCAAAACAAGCATGATGTGTTTAAAACAAAGATAAATTGGGAAATTGGGATTGTTATATATACACCTCTGTATATAGATAACTAACATAAAGAGTACCCACTGAATAGCACAGGAAACTTTACTCAATACTCTGTAGTACCTGTAAGGAAACAGCATCTAAAAAAGAGTGGATATGTATGTGTGGGCTTCCCTGATAGCTCAGTTGGTAAATGATCTGCCTGCAGTGCAGGAGGCTCTGGTTCAATACTTGGCTCAGGAGGATTCGCTGGAGAAGAGACAAGCTCCCCACTCCAGTATTCTTGGTCTCCCCTACTGGCTCAGATGGTAAAGAATCCACCTGCAATGCAGGAGACATGGGTTCGATACCTGGGTTGGGAAGATCCCCTGGGGAAGGGAATGGCTACCCACTCCAGTATTCTGGCCTGGAGAATTCCATGGACTATATAGTACAAGGGGTCACAAAGAGTTGGACATGACTGACTGAATTTTGCTTTCACTTTCATATATGTATGTGTGATTGGCTTACTTTGCTGTACAACAGAAACTAACACAATGTAAATCAACTATACTCCAATAAAATATTATGATATGAAATATCCTGGGAAAACCTTCCACCCAATATATTTGAACTAATATTGATTTTTCGTAATAGTTATAGATCCTTGGCCTTAGCCTATACAGTTTTCTCTGATTACTCTTAAATCTTAAAGTGCTCAGGGCTGGTGCACTGGGAAAACCCAGAGGGATGGGATGGGGAGGGATGTGGGAAGAGGGATCGGGATGGGGAACATATGTAAATCCATGGCTTATTCATGTGAATGTATGGCAAAAATTACTACAATATTGTAAAGTAATTAGCCTCCAACTAATAAAAATAAATGAAAAATTTTAAAAATCTTAAAATGCTATTTGTGCCTTAAAATTATATATTTTACATTTGTTATTTCTTTCTTTCCAATAATATATCATCTATTAAAAGGCCAGAAAAATGCCAAAAATAAATAAAACAAGCATTACATATTTCCAATGAAAAATGAGATAATATAGAAGGCTACTATTTGTAAGTGCTTGCCATATGTGCCCAATATTCTGCTGAATGCTTTGTAATTATTATCTTGATTTTTCTTCTCAAAGAACCCATGAGGTACTTGCTATTCTCTAAGAGTCCACATAAGAATGAATTAAGGTTGCAAATCCTGTAATATTGTCTGTAAAGTATGTGTATGTGTGCATGAGCACTCAGTCTTGTCCAGCTCTTTGTGACCCCATGGACTGTAGCCCACCAGGCTCCTCTGTTCCTGGGATCCCTCAGGCAAGAATACTGGAGTGGGTTGCCATTTCCTTCTCCTGGGGATCTTCCTGATCAGGGACTGAACTACATCTCTTGTGTCTCCTGCATTGGCAGGCAGTTTCTTTACCAGTTGAGACACTGTGGAAGCCTGTCTATGAAGTATAAATAGCACTAATTTCTCACCTTTGATCATGCTGTTATATCTCCTTCAAATGTTCCTTTTCCTTTAACAACTCAGTACTTTTTTATTTTTCCTTTGAGTTTCAGCTTAGAAGTCTCTTCTTATGGTTTTCCTTGACATATTTAAAGAAAAATCATCTGTTCCTCCATTCTACTTGATTACATTTGCAACACTAGAATTTTGCACAACAGACTATACCTAAATGTCTGTCTCCAGCTGGACAGTAAATACCTGAGGTGAACACTTGGACCATACATCATCACCAACGTGCATGAAATGGAGCACATCACCAGTGTTTTCTTTGTATTTCTAGGAATCTCTTTCTAAATTTGTTTGTATAATTACACAATGTGTGTGTGGCTCCAAAGTAAATTCTACAAAGTTAGGCTTATCCAAGGAAGTTATTCCTAATCTCTCTATGCATTCCCTTGCTCCCCATAGATAGTCATTTTTATAATTTAAAGTTTTCCTTCCTATTGCTATTTCAAAACCATTTTTGCATATCTGTATCTCTTTTGTTTCTTAGATAAATGGTTATATAATATACACAGTTGACTCCAAATTGCTTTTTATCATTTAACCATTTATCCCAAAGATTATTTTATGTTAGTATGTTCAGATATTCTTCATTCCATTCTCAGCCACAAAGTAGCCCATTCTCTGGGCATAATGTGGCTTATTTGGCATGTTACATGTATTGGTATCATAATTGATCAATTTGTTGGCTTTAATCAAGTAAGTTTTTACTATATATAATATATATAGTGACACATAATGTATAATATATATAAAATATACTGACATCTTCATAGATCACAGCCTTGTCATGGTGAAACAGCTTGCATAACTCAATGAAGCTATGAGCCATGTCATGCAGGGCCACCCAAGATGGACAGGCCATAGTGAAGAGTTATGACAAAATATGGTCTGCCAGAGGAGGAAATGGCAAACCACTCCATTATTCTTGTTATGAGAAGAACCCCATGAAGAGTATGAAAAGGCAGAAAGATATGACACTGGAAGATAAGACCCCAGGTGGGAAGGTATCCAGTATGCCACCTGGGAAGAGCAGAGGGCAATCACTAGTAGCTCCAGAAAGATGAAGCAACTGGACCAAAGTGGAAATGACACTCAGTTGTGGATGTGACTAGTGGTGAAAGTATACTCTAATGCTGTAAAGAACAATATTGCATAGGTACCTGGAATGTTAGGTCCATGAATCAAGATAAATTGAATGTGATCAAGCAGGAGATGGCAAGGGTGAACATCCACATCTTAGGAAACAGTGGGTGAACTAAAATGGATGGGAATGGGTGAATTTAATTCAAATGGCCATCATATGTACTCCTGTGGGCAAGAATCCCTTAGAAGAAATGAAGTAGCCCTCATAGTCAACAAAAGAGTCTGAAATGCAGTACTTGGGCACGATCTCAAAAATGACAAAGTGACCTTGGTTCATTTCCAAGCAAACCATTCAACAGTAATCCAAGGCTTTTCCCCAACCACTGATGCCAACGAAGCTGAAGTTGACTGGTTCTATGAAGACCTACAAGACCTTCTAGAACTAACACCAAAAAGAAAAATAAAAATAAAAGATGTCCTTTTCATTGTAGGGGATTGGAGTGCAAAAGTAGAAAGTCAAGAAATACCTGTAGTAAGTTTGACCTTGGAGTACAAAATGAAGAAGGGCAAAGGCTAACAGAGTTTTGTCAAGAGAACACATAGCACACTGGTCATAGCAAACATCCTTTCCAACAACCCAAGAGATGACTCTACACATGGACATCATCAAATGATCAATACCAAAATCAGATTGATTATATTCTTTGCAGCTGAAAATGGAAATGCTCTATATAGTCAGCAAAAACAAGACCTGGAACCTGACTGTGGCTCAGATCATCAGTTCCTTCTTGCAAAATTCAAGCTTAAATGGAAGAAAGTAGGGAAAACCACTAGGCCATTCAGGTATGACCTAAATCAAATCTGTTATGATTATACAGTGGAGGTGATAAATAGATTCAAGGGATTAGATCCAGTAGACAGAGTGCCTGAAGAACTATGAACTGAGGTTTGTAACATTGTACAGGATGCAATGACCAAAACTATCCCAAAGAAAAAGAAATGCAAGAAGGCAAAGTGGTTGTCTGAGGAGGCTTTGCAAATAGCTGAGGAAAGAAGAGAAGTGAAAGGCAAGGGAGAAAGGGAAAGATATACCCAACTGAGTGCAGAGTTCCAGAGAAAAGCAAGGAGTGATAAGAAGGTCTTCTTAAGTGAACACTGCAGAAAATACACAAAAACAATAGAAGGGGAAAGACTAGAGATCTCTTTAAGAAAACTGGAGATATCAAGGAAACATTTCATGCAAGGATAGACATGATAAAGAGAGAAACAGTAAGGACCTAACAGAAGCAGAAGAGATTCAGGAAGAGGGGGCAAGAAAACACAGAAGAACTGTATGTAAAGGGTCTTAATGACACAGATAACCATGATGGTGTGGTCACTCACTCAGAGTCAGACCTCCTGGAGTGTGAAGTCAAGTGGGCCTTAGGAATATTTACTATGAATAAAACTAGTGGAGGTGATGGAATTTCAGCTAAGCTATTTCAAATCCTAAAAGATGATGCTGTTAAAGTGCTGCACTTAATATGCCAGCAAATTTGGAAAAATCAGTGTCCACAGGACTGGAAAAGTTCTATTTTCATTCCAACCCCAAAGAAAGGCAATGCCAAAGATTGTTCCAACTACTGTACAATTGTGTTCATTTCACATGCTAGCAAGGTTATGCTCAAAATCCTTTAAGCTAGGCTTCAGCAGTTAGTGAACTCAGAACTTCTAGATGTACAAGCTGGATTTAGAAAAGACAGAGGAACCAGAGATCAAGTTGCCAACATTTGTGGATCACAGAAAAAGCAAGGGAATTCCAGAAAAGCATCTACTTCTTGCTACATTGACTACACTAAAGCCTTTGTGTGGATCACAATAAACTGTTGAAAATTCTTAAAGAGGTGAGAAAAACATACCACATTACCTATCTCTGGAGAAACCTGTATAAGGGTCAGGAAGCAACAATTAGAACTGGACATGGAACAACAGACTAGTTCAAAATCGGGAAAAGAGTATGTCAAGGCTGTATATTGTCACTCTGCTTATATAACTTATATGCAAAGTACATCATGCAAATTTCCAGGCTGGATGAATCACAGGCTGGAATCAAGATTGCAGGGAGAAATAACAACCTCAGATATACAGATGATACCACTTTAATGACAGAAGATGAAAGCAACCAAAGAGCCTCTTGATGAGGGTGAAAGAGGAGAGTGAAAAAGCTGACTTAAAACTCAACATTAAAAAAAAAAATTCAACATTATAAAAACCAAGATCATGGCATTTGGTCCCATCACTTCATGTCAAATAGAAGGGGGGAAAGTGGAACAGTCACAGATTTTATTTTCGTGGGCTCCAGCATCACCGTGGATGGTGACTGAAGCCATGAAATTAAAAGATGTTTGCTCCTTGGAAGGAAAGTTATGACAAACCTAGAGACTGTATTATTAATAAATAGTAGAGCCATCACTTTGCTGACAGAGGTCCATATAGTGAAAACAATGATTTTTCCAATATGTGAAAGTTGGGCCATAAAGAGGGCTGAGCACCGAAGAATTAATGCTTTTGAGTTGTGGTGATGGAGAAGACTCTTGAGAGTCCCTTGAACTGCAAGGAGATTCAACCAGTCAATCCTAAAGATAATCAATCCTGAATATTCATTGGAAGGACTTATGCTGAAGTTGAAGTTCCCATACTTTGGCCACTGGTTGAGAAGAGCTGACTCATTGGAAAAGAGTCGTCTGATGCTGGGAAATACTGAAGGGAAAAGGAGAAGAGGGTGGCAGAGGATGAGATGTTTAGATAACATCACTGAGTCAATGGGCATGAATCTGACCAAATCTCCGGGGATAGTGAAGGACAGGGGAGCCTGGAGTGCTGAGTCTATGGGGACACAAAGAGTCAAATGCAGCATAGCAACTGAACAACAACAAAATATATAATGAACGGTGATATATAATGTATGGTGAATTATATATATATATATTTAATGTATATATTAATACATATATCTCTTTCTGTATATTTGTATATAATCTTTCATTATTTGTTTTATTTTCTTTCTCTCAGTATATCTTTTGATATTTAGGAAAGTTTGTATTTTGCACTGACAAATTGCCTTTATATAAATATCTTTATATAATATTCTATGAGCCCAATTTATAGGCTACTGTCAATTGATTCTCTACTTTCAGAAAAAACTTTTAAAACCTTTGAAAAGGGGACCGTGTCCCCATTTGTAGCACTAATATCTGCATCTAAAGAATGGCTCCAAATCTCATTGTATTTGTATAAGTAAAAGCATAGAGAAAAAAAAAACTATGCATAAACCTGAGTGGATAAATGTATATAAAAAATATTTACAAGTAAACACATCAAACAGTGCTTTTTGCTGAGAAAGTCCACTTCAATGTCACTCCATTGGTGCAGAGAGTTTGTTCTGTGTTGTTTTCCCCAGATACTTCAGTGCCTTTAACCGTGTCTCACATTTAATAAATATTCAATAATGAATGAAAGAAGACAATGGCATCTGGAAGGAACCACTGAAAGCAGACTCACTTTTCAGTGAAAATATTGGCTCCCATTTTCCTACAGAAACAATTGACAGGAGCTCAACGCTACTCTCAGATGTGGTCATGCAGACTGCAATTTGCCAGTTTCCACCAAACATATTGTCTTATCAAAGACCTACTTCACTTGTCTAGGTCACCTATCGGTCCTTTGAGTGCATGTGGATTTGAAACTTCCTTCAAAAAAAAAAAAAGAAGAACCACAAATGAGGTCCTATTGTAAACAGGGGAGAACCAGTGCACACTTGGTTTGCTGCATGGATGACACCTAGCACTTAGTGCAAGTCTGAATATAAACTTGCAGGCTGTGTTAAATAGCATATTGTGTAGCTATCATAGCTGATGTGATGCCTGAACCATATACTGTGTTCTTTTTGCTTTTGTATACGAGAAGTTCTCCAAACTACTTTTCACTTTTTTGTTCTTTTCTTAATGTTGGGGTTAACATTTATAGTGTTAGCTGATTTGCTCATGAAATCAGCAGGCACCTCGACTGAGGGACTGAACTGAACTGAACCGAGGAAAGAATTGAACGGTGAATAATGGAACTTCTCACTGAGAAGTGGCAAGGCCCTGCTGTGTGTCCTACAGGTGTAGTTTAAATACACTTGTCTAGCAACCAAAGACAAAATCTTAAAGGAGAAAAAATCACAATGAATTTTTAATGCAGGAAAGTATCACTTTATTTTGGTACAGAAATAGACCAGGTTAAAGAAAAGTCTTAGGAAAAGAAGTTAGAAGAATGAGTTGACCAATTGTCAGGTGAAAGGGGAAAATCTGTTACTGGAGAAGTGCTCCATGCCATATCCGTCTCTTTCAACAGCATGGTCTGGTTCCTCACTGGAATCATGAAGCCCAGTTTAGCTGAGCAACATCAACCCCAAAGGAGGGTCTGGATCTATGGGGACAGAGGTAAGTGGAGACAGTGGTCACAGGGCAGCAGGCTCAGCAGCAAGAGGAGGGACAGCACACGGGGCGGGGGCAGGTGGAGATGACACAGGTGGGCCGATAGCAAGTGGTGTGGCAGGAGACCCGGCCACACACTGGGCGCAGGCAGCAGCTTGGGCGGCAGCAGCTGGAGCCACAGCAAGAGGGGCGGCAGCAGCTGGAGATGCCGGAGCAGGTGGGCTGGCAGCACACAGGCTGGCAACAGCGGGGCCTGCAGCAGCTGGAGATGCAGCAGGTGGGACGAGGACAGGTGGGCTGGCAGCACACAGGCTGGTAGCACTGGGGCCTGCAGCAGCTGGAGATGCAGCAGGTGGGACGAGGACAGGTGGGCTGGCAGCACACAGGCTGGCAGCACTGGGGCCTGCAGCAGCTGGAACCACAGCTGGAAACACAACAGGAGGGGCGGCAGCAGCTAGAGATGCAGCAGGTGGAGCGAGGGCAGGTGGGCTGGCAGCAGACCGGCCGGCAGCAGCTGGACACACTGCAGCTGGGGCGGCAGCAGGTGGTCCTGCAGCAGGTGGTCTGGAAGCAGCTGGGCTGGCAGCAGGTCTCCTGGCAGAGACTTCGGCCACAGCTCTGGTCAGAGCAGACAGAGCCACAACAGGAGCTGACCATGGTGTCAGAGGGTGGAGGTTCTGATGTTAATAGGAAAGTGAACTTAGTGATTTGAAGTATCTCTGTTGCCTGTCCTCTTTTATACCCCACTGAGACTGCTGTGTTCATGTCCTAGACTGTTTCCTAGTTCATTTTCCTAAAGAAACATTAGTCATTATGTTAGATCATCATGTTTTTCTGGTTAATTATTTTAAAATGAAGAATAAAAAGATTTCCTTTTCCCAGTGTGTTAAAATTTTCTAGTCCAGCCTTTCTTACAGAATAAATTTTACTATTTCCCTGTTTGTTGTGGATTCCATCACTGGAATTTACCTGTGATCTTTGTATCACTCCATCATGTTGTTTGGATGGATTGTCCTCATGATGCCAAGATCTCTTTTGATGTCAAAAGAGAAGCAGAATTATTGTAGGCAAATAGAGAGAAAAATGGTCATCCTTGTGAGTTACCTGTATGCCATGAGGAAGACAGATCCAATCCGTGAGTCATGAATGCTGACTAGATAGTGGACTGTCTCTGGTGCTTCAAAGGATGTGTCAGGTACTACTTCCTATATCCAATTTGAAACTGTTACCAATGACTCATGTTTTTTCAAGTATTAAGAAGTATTTGGAGCCACCTTGAAGGGACTCTCACTGACCCAATAAGAAGCAACTTGAACAACACAATGAATAAATGGCAATAAAGGATTTTAACCCGTTAAATAAAAATCCATGAGTCCATACTGAGGCCCATTGTGTAGAAAAATAAGGGAAAGTTATCCATGACAGTAGAATGTCAACTAATAAATATAGAAAGAAAAAGGGAATTAAAAATCACTGTCTATCATCCTCATAGTAAAACTTGATTCATGTAGCCCTAATCCTAACCCTAATTCTATCTTTATCTAAATCATATCATAATCTACCTATCTATCTATCTATATCTACCTATCATCTATTTACCTACATACCTACCTATATCCATCTATGAGAGAAAAAAATGTGGCATGATTTTGAATATAGGTAAAAACTATATGGTATAAAGAAGTTCTTTATATTACTGTTTGAACTATTCTGTAAATTTGAAATATTTTTAAAAATAAAAAGTATACTTTTTGATAGCAGTCATTCCAACTGGTACCTCATTGTGGTTTCAATTTGCGTTTTGGGGAGGGAGGCATGAGGGGGGTTCAGGATGGGGGACACATATACATGTGTGGCTGATTCATGTCAATGTACGGCAAAAACCACCACAATATCGTAAAGTAATTAGCCTCCAACTAAAATAAATAAATTAATTAAAAGAAAAAGAAAATATGACAAAATAATCTAACATCCTTCATAAATAAGCAAATGACTACTTAAATGATAACAAATAAACAGAGGTAGGTGAAAAAAAATAAAAAGTAAAAAAATATTTAAATGAATTAAGATTAAAAATATTTTCCCATGGTGTTAGTGTATTAAGAGGAAGTAGTTGGTGTCTTTGGGGGGAAATATTAAAGTCTATGATAAATCTTACTTAATAGGAGCTTCTACTATAAGAAGCCTTTCTTGTATCTCTAACTAATGTCATAATCTTTTAATCTTCTTGGGTCCCTGAAAATATAGGACTTTTAACAACATGGCAGGATCAAGTTGATGCTAACAGACCCACCTTCTAGATAAAGCAAATAGAAATGCTTGAGAAATATTTTAAAATATTTCCATTACATAGCCAAACTTAAAGGGAAAGAAAAATTCTCATTTTCCAGAAAGAAAAAGAGAACGCCAACTGCATATGATAGCTGATGTCCAGGATTGTGAAGGTTTGGTATCTAGTTATAAGCTTTCAAAATGGGAGGCTGGTAGTTGAAACCCAAGTAGGTGCAAAAAATGACTTTAAACTTTCACAAGACAAGGTCTGGGAAGGGAGAGTTCTAGCCACAGTTTGCATTCTTAAAAGAGGCACCTAGTAAGATGGGGACAAGAAAACCTTATCTCCCCACTAGGAATTGTAAATGGTAATCAAAGTGCCTATGAACATGTAAACCACAGCAGTATCACTAAGCTTTCCAATTCACACTAAATGAATAGGGGAGGAATCTCAAGTTGAGAAACTCTAACAAAATAGTGAATATCCTTGGAAACATCAGAGACAAAAGCAGAAATTATAGCACAGAGAAATAATCCCTTAAAAAACAAAATAAAATAATGTTAACTGCGAGGAGAAATAAACTTTTAAGACTATTCATAGACTTCATGAGTTGCCCAAAAGGGAAAATGTTACAAAATATTCCCCACAAAAAATTTTTGAGTCTATTTCTGTTGCCTTTTCCTCATTTTTAATAATTTGGTCCTTTGATTCTTATATACCTGGTAATTATTTTTATTGAATGCCAAATATATATGAAAAGCTGTAGAGGCTTGAGGTGATTTTTATCTTCTACCTGGAACAGATTTACTTTTCTTCTTGGACTGTGGGTTCTCAATACTACCTGCATAAGTCAACTCCCAAAGATTGTTGTTGTTCAGTCACTAAGTCATACCCCACCCCTCTCTTTATGAACCCATGGACTGCAGCATGCCAGGCTCCTCTATCCCCCACCATCGCCCGGAACTTGCTCAAATTCATGTTCTTGACTCGGTAATGCTATCTAACTGTCTCATCCTTTGTTTCCCCCTTCTCCTTTTGCCTCAGTCTTTCCCAACATCAGGCTCTTTTCCAGTGAGTCAGCTCTTTGCATCAGGTGGCCAACGTATTGGAGCTTCAGCTTCAGCACCAGTCCTTCCAATGAATAATCAGAGTTGATTTCCTCTAGGATTGACTGGTTTGATCTCCTTGCAGCCCAGGGGACTTTCAAGAGTCTTCTCCAGCACCACAATTCAAAAGTATCAATTCTTTGGCCCTCAGCCTTCTTTATGATCCAACTCTCACAACTGTACATGACTATTTTCTTAACTTTATCCATTTCTCACAGCCATTCTCATCAAGAGGTTTGGTCTTATATCTGCTTTGTCATAGCTGGAACTTACATTCTGTCCTTTAGTTTTTCAAGAAGCCACTCTCTTTTGGACCCTGCAGTCTACTAGCTGTCTTTTTACCTCTCTGTTTATCCCTTTCCATGCTCTTGTGGTTGCTGTTGCTCCTCTTTCAACTTACAAATGTTGGAGTTTTCCATTAGCTTGGGCCATATGTATCCTCTCTTTAGACATCTAAATTCCTATGACCCAAGAAAACACCTAAATTCCCATGGCATTAAAAATCATTTTAGATTTGTTAGTGCCTCACTTGCAGACTGTGGTAGGAGGACACTAAGATGACTCTCAAGGATCCCACCTCCTCTGACTCATGTCCTATGTAACGCCTTCGCATTGAGTGTAAGCTGTACATAGTGATTCACTTCAAATGAATGGAATACAGCAGTAATGAGGACATTGGGCTTTCCAGACTAGGTTATTGTAAGATTTTGGTTTTCTTTCTGTTTCTTGATCTTTCTTAGGTCGCTCACTCTGGAGGAAGCCAGCTACCTTGAGTAATCAGTCCATGTGGTGAAGAACTGAGTCTTCCTGCCAACAGCCATGTGAATGAGCTTGGAAGTGGATTTTCCTCTCTTCATAAGAGTGCAGTCCTGGCCAACCACTTGCCTGCAACTTCATGAGAGATCCTGACATGCCACTTCCAGATTTCTAACCCTCAGAAAGTCCATGAGATAATAAATGTTTTGGGGGGGGGGGGATAACTTGTTAACCAACATTAGGTAACTAATACACATACCAATTCCTGGTCTGTGAAAGTCTACTACATTTTCCATGAAGATAATCATATTATTTGCAAATAATGATAGATTTATTGGTTTATTTTATTTCCAGTTCTTCACATATTCTGTTTCTGGGAGAAAAATTCAAGAGGGATGAGACATATGTATACCTTTGGCTGATTCATGTTGATGTAGGGCAGAAACCAACACAACATTATAAAGCAATTATCCTCTAATTAAAAATAAATTAACAAAAATAATTAAATAAGCAAATCTTTCTTTATTGTGAAGAAAAGTACTGAAAGAGCCCCTCACTCCAGAGAAAAGTAAAATGAAAAATTTTTCTTATGCTGAGACCAAGAGAAGGTGCAATCAATTCACACCTACCATCTCAGATCCACTTGGAATTCTGTGCTTTGAGTAAGAATGAGGAATAATGCCCCTATACAACTTAAATTATTATCTCATTGTTATTTATGTGTAGAATTTATGGAAGTCAAACACATTCATTATTCATTACCATTGAATTACTTATTTACCCTATAACTCTTAGAATATGCATATACAAAACTTTCTATATATTTCTCTTACTTCCACTAGCATAAATTCATCAGGAATTTGCTTTTATCCTTTTTTCCTAGGATAGACTTCATAGGAATTTGGGAGGGTTCTGAGTTAACCTAAGATAAAAATTGGTCCATTAATTGGATTCCCTACTAGTTTCCACATTTCTCATAGGATTTGTTGACAAGGTACCCAAGACCCATGCTGTCAAATACACATCCTAGAAAAGTCATTAAGATAAGAAAATACTAAAATTTGAATATTTTCAATAGTCTGTTAGCCCTCAATTTCTCAGGAAGGTTGATTTGCCCAAAACAATTATTTTGTTGTCAGTGGATGGAGAGGAAATAAGAAATCTGAGAGTGTAATAAATTGGGTTACATGTGGGATAGATAAACCCAAGGGAAGACTCTGGTTTTCCAAGGAGAAGAGCAAGGGCAGAGCAGTATATTTGGAGAGAAGGAAGGAAAAAAAGGAAGAAAGGAAAATGGAGGGATGACCCAACTAAGAGAGGAGTGGAATTTTAGGGAAATATATGCTTTAAAATGGAGAAGGAAATGACAACCCACTCCAGCATTCTTGCCTGGAGAATCCCGTGGACAGAGGAGCCTGGTGGGCTACAGTCCATGGGGTCGAAAGGAGTCAGACACGACTGAACACACAGCACATGCTTTAAAAGTAATATCCATGGCTGATTCATGTCAATGTATGACAAAAACCACTATAATATTGTAAAGTAATTAGCCTCCAACTAATAAAAATAAATGAAAAAGTATTTAAGAAAGGTTTGCTGTGGGGTATAATCCATCTCCTCCATAAACTTAAATTTTTCAGAAAAATTATTATTTTTCAATTCTCTTGGAGATATTGTGTTATGTATTGTGTTATTTCTGGGATTGTTTGTTTTCTTCTATGGGACATGTTGGATTTGTCCTAAAGATGAGAGCAGAAATTGGTAAGCTTGATAAAGTTATATTAATATGTTGAATACCATTTCCCAGAAAACGAGGCCAATCATCATAAAGCAGCAAACACAAGAACTTTGTATGGGCCAAGAAAGTGGAGCTTTATTCAGAAGCAGCAGCAAGACACAGAAATATCCCTTAAAAGGCTTATAGGATGTAGCCCCCAGACTTTCAGATCTGAGGCTGTGACATCAGGGCCCCTATAGGCCCTGCAGGAATTTTCATGTTTGGGACTGGAAGACCCAGTACCCCCACATCAAAATGTCAAGTATAGGACAGGGGCAACTCTGCTGGTTTCTTTCTATAAATACCACCTAGTTTCATTTGCTAGCAAGGAAAAGGCCAACAAAGGAGAGAGTCTGGCCTGAGGCCAGGTTGTAGACACAGACTATGGGAATGGCCTCTGCTCTGGTGTCTGTGTGGAGTCTGCTTCTGTGATAAGATGGATGAAGAGGAGAGGGCGGGTTCAGAGAGGTGGCTCAGCAGCAAGAGGAGGGACAGCACACAGGGCGGGGGCAGGTGGAGATGACACAGGTGGGCCGATAGCAAGTGGTGTGGCAGGAGACCCGGCCGCACACTGGGCGCAGGCAGCAGCTCGGGCGGCAGCAGCTGGAGCCACAGCAAGAGGGGCGGCAGCAGCTGGAGATGCGGGAGCAGGTGGGCTGGCAGCACACAGACTGGCAGCACTGGGGCCTGCAGCAGCTGGAGATGCAGCAGGTAGGCCTGGAGCAGCTGGATCCACAGCTGGACCCACAGCAAGAGGGTTGGTAGCAGCTAGAGATGCAGCAGGTGGGGCGAGGGCAGGTGGGCTGGCAGCACACAGGCTGGCAGCACTGGGGCCTGCAGCAGCTGGAGATGCAGCAGGTAGGCCTGCAGCAGCTGGAACCACAGCTGGAAACACAGCAGGAGGGGCGGTAGCAGCTAGAGATGCAGCAGGTGGGGCGAGGGCAGGTGGGCTGGCAGCACTGGGGCCTGCAGTAGCTGGACACACCACAGCTGGGGCGGCAGCAGGTGGTCCTGCAACAGGTGGTCTGGCAGCAGCTGGGCTGGCAGCAGGTCTCCTGGCAGAGATTTCGGCCACAGCTCTGGTCAGAGCAGATGGAACCACAACAGGAGTTGACCATGGTGTCAGAGGGTGGAGGTTCTGGGTGAGTTTCTAGGAGAGTGAGTTTCTCAAATTTGGAAGTTTCCCTTCCACATGTCCTCTTTTATACTCAGCTGAGGGACTTCCGTGATCATGAAGAGAGTAGTTCCTTCTTTTTGCTTATATGACTAAAATACAATTAGTAAGTCATATGTATTTTTCTAGTAAAATTTGGCAATATATAGAAAATAATCATTTCCCTTTTCTCAAGTTCCCCAGTCTTTTCACATGAATCACCTGTTCTGTTTCTTCTTTAGTTCGTAAGGTTATAAGACTTCAGTCCCAGGGTATCATGTGACATTGGTGGGCCTCTGTTCCTTGTTTATTTCTCACTTTGATATGACTTTGGGAGAGTTTCTAATGAGATTAGGATCTCTCATGGAAATTTCACGTTTCAATCAGATGGAATGTTTGTCAAGAAAATGGAAGTACGCTTCGTTTTTTGAATGTGAGAAAACTTATGATTCATTGTGTGTATTCTGGGTGGTCACTGAGCTAATGACATTCCAAACTGTGTTATTTCTCATCACCTTGATGAACTTTGAAACAGTTAGCTGTGACTTGGTGTTTTTAAGCAGCAAACAGTCATCTGAGATTAATCAGAAATGTCTTTGATCTTCAGACGTGTCTTCTAGGCTAGGGTACAGTAATTGACACAATAGTTTTGGATCAAAATATGTCATATTTATGCTTTGTGGACATTTTATTAAACTCTTTTTCAAATATTCTGAGCTAAAATGCCTAGCAGTTTTTGTAGTATTACTTATGATTAAGATATTCTTAGATGCATTAAGGGAAATATAAATAACATTCACTATCTTACCTGTACTTACATAAAAATTGCATCCATAAAGAGCTTTATAACCAAAACCAGATATGATTAGGCTGCTAAATTAGAGGTCTTTTTAGTGCCACAGGCATTTAGAGAAAAACAACATTCTAGGAAAGAGACGGTAATCTTCTTGATCTTCCCTCTTCCTGCAAAATCTTGTGAGTTCAGCATTCTCCTAGTGATCTTTTACCAGTGAGTTCAACTGCCATCTTCCTCCAAAATCTTCTTTGATGCCATGAAGTCAAGTCCTTCCTCTGCTACACTTCTGCTGTGCTTTGAGTATTCTTGGGCTCTACCAAATATTCTCTACCAGAAATGCACTTATGTGTCTGGCTCACTCTAAAATATAAATTCCATTTGTACAAAGACTATGATTTACTCATCTTCATATCTTCAGGGACTGAAATGAGATTAGTTTTTGATAAAGGAGATGTCTGTGTAACGAGTGAAGGTTTTGTCTAGGCCATCAAAGAAGACACACTGACCTTGAGAACACGTGTTATTCATATAGATGGGCAGAAGGGGGATTTAAAAGAGGGAGCCGTATTTGAGATGGCCATAACCCTGGTTTGTGATGGTGAAAGAGGTATGTCTGGAAAGTCTACTTTAAGAAGAAATGAGAGGGAAGTTGAGATTCCTGGTATGTGGGAGAGGTCTTGTGTAGCTCTGAATTCTCAAAAAAAAAGTAGTAGATCTATTAAAAGTCTTTAGGTGGGAAGATAATAAAATATATACACTATATATGAATTATTTTAATTTTTGATCTGCCTTTAGAAATGCAAAAATGAGGGAGATATTGCTTAAAAGGTTGAACTGGGGCAGAGTGAGAGGTGAGTTCACAGAATCAGGTGATGGCAATAAGCATCATAGAGTTATTACAAAGAAAGTATCAACATTGGGGTACACGTGTCTCTTTCAGATCTGGTTTCCTCGGTGTGTATGCCCAGAAGTGGGATTGCTGGGTCATATGGCAGGTCTATTTCCAGCTTTTTAAGAAATCTCCACACTGTTTTCCATAGTGGCTGTACTAATTTGCATTCCCACCAACAGTGTAAGAGGGTTCCCTTTTCTCCACACCCTCTCCAGCATTTATTGCTTGTAGACTTTTGGATAGCAGCCATCCTGACTGGTGTGTAATGGTACCTCATTGTGGTTTTGATTTGCATTTCTCTGATAATGAGTGATGTTGAGCATCTTTTCATGTGTTTGTTAGCCATCTGTATGTCTTCCTTGGAGAAATGTCTGTTCAGTTCTTTGGCCCATTTTTTGATTGGGTCATTTATTTTTCTGGAGTTGAGCTGGAGGAGTTGCTTGTATATTTTTGAGATTAATCCTTTGTCTGTTGCTTCGTTTGCTATTATTTTCTCCCAATCTGAGGGCTGTCTTTTCACCTTGCTTATAGTTTCCTTTGTTGTGCAAAAGCTTTTAAGTTTCATTAGGTCCCATTTGTTTATTTTTGCTTTTATTTCTAAAATTCTGGGATGTGGGTCATAGAGGATCCTGCTGTGATTTATGTCGCAGAGTGTTTTGCCTATGTTCTCCTCTAGGAGTTTTATAGTTTCTGGTCTTACATTTAGATCTTTAATCCATCTTGAGTTTATTTTTGTGTATGGTGTTAGAAAGTGTTCTAGTTTCATTCTTTTACAGGTGGTTAACCAGTTTTCCCAGCACCACTTGTTAAAGAGGTTGTCTTTTTTCCATTGTATATCCTTGCCTCCTTTGTCAAAGATAAGGTGACCATAGGTTCGTGGATTTATCTCTGGGCTTTCTACTCTGTTCCATTGATCTATATTTCTGTCTTTGTGCCAGTACCATACTGTCTTGATGACTGTGGCTTTGTAGTATAGTCTGAAGTCAGGCAGATTGATTCCTCCAGTTCCATTCTTCTTTCTCAGGATTACTTTGGCTATTCGAGGTTTTTTGTATTTCCATACAAATTGTGAAATTATTCGTTCTAGTTCTGTGAAAAATATCGTTGGTAGTTTGATAGGGATTGCATTGAATCTGTAGATCACTTTGGGTAGTATAGCCATTTTGACAATATTGATTCTTCCAATCCATGAACACGGTATATTTCTCCATCTGTTTGTGTCCTCTTTGATTTCTTTCATCAGTGTTTTATAGTTTTCTATGTATAGGTCTTTTGTTTCTTTAGGTAGATATACTCCTAAGTATTTTATTCTTTTTGTTGCAATGGTGAATGGTATTGTTTCCTTAATTTCTCTTTCTGTTTTCTCATTGTTAGTGTATAGGAATGCAAGAGATTTCTGTGTGTTAATTTTATATCCTGCAACTTTACTGTATTCGTTGATTATCTCTAGTAATTTTCTGGTAGAGTCTTTAGGATTTTCTATGTAGAGGATCATGTCATCTGCAAACAGCGAGAGTTTCACTTCTTCTTTTCCTATCTGGATTCCTTTTACTTCTTTTTCTGCTCTGATTGCTGTGGCCAAAACTTCCAAAACTATGTTGAATAGTAGTGGTGAGAGTGGGCACCCTTGTCTTGTTCCTGATTTCAGGGGAAATGCTTTCAGTTTTTCACCATTGAGGGTGATGCAGATGAATGGATGAGGAAGCTGTGGTACATATACACCATGGAATATTACTCAGCCATTAAAAAGAATTCATTTGAATCAGTTCTAATGAGATGGATGAAACTGGAGCCCATTATACAGAGCGAAGTAAGCCAGAAAGATAAAGACCATTACAGTATACTAACACATATATATGGAATTTAGAAAGATGGTAACGATAACCCTATGTGCAAAACAGAAAAAGAGACTCCTATGTATAGAACAGACTTGTGGACTCTGGGAGAAGGCGAGGGTGGGATGTTTCAAGAGCACAGCATTGAAACACGTATATTATCTAGGGTGAAACAGTTCACCAGCCCAGGTTGGGTGCATGAGACAAGTGCTCGGGCCTGGTGCACTGGGAAGACCCAGAGGGATTGGGTGGAGAGGGAGGTGGGAGGGGGGACCGGGATGGGGAATACATGTAAAAAAAAAAAAAAAAGATACACTATGGTTGTGAAAAAAATAAATAAATAAATAAATTAAATTTAAAAAAAAGTAAAAAAAAATAAAAAAATAAAAAAAATAAAATTTAGCTGGATCAAATGATAAAAAAAAAATAAATAAATAAAATGCAGCCTAAAGAGAAAAAAAAAAAAAGAAAGTATCAGCAGATACTTTGACCAAACTGAAAACAGAGCTATAAGGAGGGATCTTCATAAGAGTTATAAAAGATATCTTAGTTTAACCATTTATACACTTTATGTATATTATATATATATAATATACATAAATATATAAAATATATATAGTATATATACACACACACACATACGCATATCCCAGATGGCACTAGTGGTAAACAATTCACCTGCCAATGCAGCAGACATAAGAGATGTGGGTTCGATCCCTGGATTGGAAAGATCTTCTAGAGGAAGGGATGGCAACCCACTCCAGTATTCTTGCTTGGGAAATTCCATGGACAGAGGAACTTGGTGGGCTACAGTCCATGGGGCTGCAAAGAGTCAGACACTGAACATACACACACTCTCACACACACACATATATATATCTTAAGCTTTCTACCTCCTGCTGCTGCTGCTTCTAAGTCACTCCAGTCATGCCTGACTCTGTGTGACCCACGGACAGCAGCCCACCCGGCCCCTCCGTCCACGGGATTCTCCAGGCAAGAATACCAGAGTGGGTTGCCATTTCCTTCTCCATCCTACCTCCTAGGGGATATTAATCTAAAAATTTAAAGGATAGACTAACAGAAATGGTAAGCTGTGTTTAAAAAAAAGAAGAAGAAGAAGAAGAAGAGGAACTGAAATCACTTGGAGATACGGAAAAGGTGTATGCATCAAAAAATTAGAATGGAATATTTGGCACA